TTCCCTACAGCCACCTGACTTCATGATTTACCTAATTACTGCTTTGGGATTCTGAACACCCTACACCTGAGAAATAAATTCAGAGGTAAATTTCAAACAGCTTTTCACAAGTCAGTGAGTGAACCTGAGGAGACCCAAACTCACAGTTCTGTATTTCTAAACTCAGAGGTTGCTTTTATCTCCAATTTTCTTTAATTGTTCCTAATGTAGTAAGAAGAAGAAAATAAAGGATACTACTTAGAAATATGTATCTTTTATATATTCAATATAGCACACATATACCTAATATCATGCATATAATATACATACCATCATACATATATCATACATGTTATATATATTTATAATAAATTTACAAGCAAAACTGCCTTAAAATGGCAGGCTCTTTGTTCTGCAAACATCGTATTAACCGGGGTGTCTGCAAGTTTAAGCCTTGGAACCCAGCTGAATTCTTCTCTGTACTGAAAGGAAAAGAGTCCTTAGGGAATATTCTGGAAGGAAAGGTAAAGAGAAAAGAGGATGGAGAAGCAGGAGAGAAAATTCCAAGGCTGGGCCTCACCTCCCATGACGCCCAAATCGGGAGGGCTTTGGGAATCCCAACAAGTGGAATGACCAGGACTCCAGGCCAGCGCTGCCCAGCTCGGGAGGGAATGGAAGGCTACAGCCTGCATGAGGTCACACTAGTCCAGAATCTGATCAGCGACTTAGTGGACTCTGTGATGGGCCCGAAAGAAGAAAGAAATAAGAGTAACAGCTCTTGCAGTTAATAACTAACCCCTGTATAGCTAGTAGTCAGCCTGGGGCTTCAACAAATTTTGTAGGAAAAATAGCTTCATTGAGGCAAGCAAGTGGGCAGTAGTCCCAATGGTATATGACTCTCCGCAGCACTCCCCCACCTCAACCATGGTAGATGCCAGACTTTCCCACAATGGGGAAATGTACCCGAGGTTGGCATCAGACGTTGTAGGTCAGGACTGCTTATTTGCCTCTCATGGAATATATGAGTTAAAACATTTCATAGTATCACTGTCTTTAGTCTGCTCAGGCTGTCATAACAAAACACCACAGAGTGAGAGGCTGGAAGTCCAAGATCAAGGTGCCAGCAGGATTGCTCTCTGGTGTGGTCTCTCTTCCAGTCTCCTATACGGCCGCCTTCCCACTGTGTCCTCACTTGGCCTTTTTCCGTGCACACGTAGCGAGAGAGGGAAATCTCTGGTATGTCTTCTTATAGAGAGGATTAAGACCCAACCTTGTGACCTCATTTAACCTTAATTACTTCTCTAAAGGTCCCGTCTCCAAATATAGCCTCATTGGGGGTTAGGGCTTTAATATATGAATTTGGACAGGGAGAAGGAGGCGGGACGGGGGTAGGGGGGTGGGGGGTGGGGGGTGGGGGGAGGGCGACACAATTCAGTCCGTGACAGTTATTTAGCAGGTGTTTTGCAGGTTTGCTAGAGAAAAAGAGAGAGGATATGAAACGGTTTAGACTCCTGGCAAGCCGACTTAGAGCAAGCAAGCATTGCCAAATTATAATATTAACAACTGCTAACGCTTATACATTGCATACTACGGGCCAAGCACTGTTGTAAGGACTTTGCATATGTTATCTTAATTAATTCTCCAAACAACACTTCAAAGTAGGTATTAGTATCGTCCTCATTTTAGAGATAAGGTACTTAGGTACAGAGAGGTTAACTGACTTACCCAAGATCACAGAGCTACAAAGTGACTGAGCAAGGATTCAAACCCCAGCATCAGAGTCCAGAGTCCACACAGGCATAGCGAGAAAACTTATGGTTACCAAAAGGGAAAGTCGATGGTATAAATTAGGAATTTGGGATTAACAGATACATACTACTATATATAAAATAGATAACCAACAAGGACCTGCTATATAGCACAGAGAACTATATTCAATATTTTGTCATAACATATAATGCAAAAGAATCTGCATATATACGTGTATATATATGTGTGTGTGTATATATACACACACACATATATATATATATAACTGAATCACTTTGCTGTACACTTGGAACTAACACATTATAAATTAGCTATACTTCAATAAAAATGGTTCAAAAAATAAACCATTTACCTGAGCAGACTAAGACAGTGATATTATGAAATGTTTTAACTCATTTAGTAAACAAATTCTATTTATTTATAGCTGACATAATCATCTATATAGAAAATCTGATACAATCCACACAAAAACGCTACTAGAACTAATAAGCAAGTTTAACAAAGTATGGAATACAAGATCAACATACAAAAATCAATTGTATTCTATATATAACAACAAATGTTTGGTAATTGAAATTTAAAAAGCAATACCATTCACAGTAGTATCAAAATATATAAAATACTAGGAATAAAGCTTAAAAGACTATACACTGAAAACTATAAATATTACTGAGAGAAACGGAAGAAGTCTGTGAGAAATGGACACATATAGTTTGCTAACAGTCAGGAGACTGAATGTTAAGGTGTCAACGTTAACCAAACTAATCTACAAATTTAATGCAATCTCAAGCAACATCTCCGTGGACTTTTTGGTAGAAATTGACAAGCAGATTCCAGATTTCATATGGAATGCAAAGAACTTAGCCAAACCCACTTAAAAAATGAAGACCAAATTTAGAAGACTAACATTGCCTGGTTTCAAGACTTACTGTAAAGTTATAGTAATCAACAAAGTGTGCTTTGGTGTAAACACAGACACATAAGCCAATGGAATAGAATAGAGAGTGCAGAAGTAAATAAATAAATAAAGTGTTTTTCTACAAAGATGCAGAGTCAATTCATTGAAGAATGGATTGTTTTTTTGAACAAATGGTGATAGAACAATTTGATATTCATATGCAAAAGACAAAAAAGAACTTCAATCCATAACTTGCACCATAGGCAAAAATTAACTCTAAATACAAAACATGAAACTTTTAGGAGAAAGCCTCTGCTTACTTGGGTTAGACAAAAATAGCACTTTATCAAAATTTCAAACTTCCGTCTTTAAAAGACACTGTTAGGAGAATAAAATGTCAAGCCATAGACTTGAAGGAAATGTTTGCAAAGCGTATATCTGATAAAGGATGCATATCCAGAATACTCAAGGAACTCTCAAAACCCAGTAAGAAGACAAAAAACCCAATATAAAAACGGGCAGAATACTTGAACAGACACTTCACCGAAAAAGATATCAGGATGGCAACTAAGTGCATCATTAGTCGTTAGAGAAAGGCAAATTAAAACCATTGTGAGCTACCACTAAACACCTACTAGAATGGCAAAAATTAAAGAGACTGATCATACCAAGTGTTGTTGAGAATGTGGAGGAACTGGAACTAGTATACACTGCTGGTGGGAATGGAAATTGTACAACCACTTTGGAAAACAACGGGATGGCTCCTTAAAAAGGTAAACATACAATAGAGCCATTTCACTCTTAGGTATTTACCCAAGAGAATTAACACATATTCTGTACAAAGACTTGAATATGAATGTCATTACAGCTTTATTTGTAACAGCCCAAAACAGGAAACAACCCCAAAGTCCATCCACAAATATATAGATAAACAAACTGATATAAAATGAAGTATTATTCAGCAATTTAAAAAATGAGCTATTAAGAGTGTCCGACCTTAAATTTAGGTCTTTCATCCATCTTGAGTTTATTTTCGTATATGGTGTTAGAGAACGTTCTAATTTCATTCTTTTACATGTAGTTGTCCAGCTTTCCCAGCACCACTTATTGAAGAGACTGTTTTTTCTCTATTGTATATTTTTGCCTCCTTTGTCATAGATTAATTGATCACAGGTGCGTGGGTTTATTTCTGGGCTTTCTATCCTGTTCCATTGATCTGTATTTCTGTTTTTGTGCCAGTAGCATACTGTTTTTTTTTTTTGTAGCTCTCCAGTTTTCCCAGCACCACTTGCTGAAGAGGTTGCCTCTTCTCCATTGTATATTCTTGCCTCCTTTACCAAAGATAAGGTGACCATATGTGTGTGGGTTTATTTCTGGGCTTTCTATCCTGTTCCATTGATCTATATTTCTGTTTCTATATACTGTCTTGATTACTGTAGCTTTGTAGTATAAGTAATTCAACTTTAAAACAAAATTGCCTATTTCTCCTTCAAGTTTTCTGGATCAGTGTAATCAGACACTACCCTGAAATTGCATGACAAGCTATTTTAAAAGCTATTAAAGGTTCACATTGTAATTTTTAGCACTTTCTGACAAGAAAAACAATATTAAATAATATTAATCCAGCCCTAAAAGAGCTACTAGAATTATCTTATCCACATGACTTTGAACTCTTATTTTACAAACAAAATGTAGAATTAAGTTATAAGATAAAACTGGACTCAGGAGAACGGAGCCCACGTTCCCACAGAGCTGGAACTCCCGGCTTGGGGTCTCTTCCCTCCGCCGTCACGGAACTGCCCCGGAGCCAGAGGGGAGGGCGGCCTCACTGAGGCTGCTGGCTCTGGAGGGGCCCCGGCGGCCGAAGCCGCGACAATCCTGGGGACCGCGGGCAGGAATCATCGTACCTAGAATTCTGGAGAAGATGGCGGAAGAGTAAGACGTGGAGATCACCTTCCTCCCCACAGATACATCAGAAATACATCTACACGTGGAACTGTTCCTATAGAACACCCAGTGATCGCTGGCAGAAGACCTCAGACCTCCCAAAAGGCAAGAAACTCCCCACGTAACTGGTCGTGTGGATGACAGGCTGTTGGTGCTCCAGCCAGGCGTCAGGGCTGTGCCACTGAGGTGGGAGAGGCAACTTCAGGACACTGGTCCACCAGAGACCTCCCAGCTCCACGTGATATCAAATGGAGAAAATCTCCCAGAGATCTCCATCTCAACACCAAGACCCAGCTCCACTCAACGACCAGCAAGCTAGTGCTGGACATCCTATGCCAAACAACTAGCAAGACAGGAGCACAGCCCCATCTATTAGCAGAGAGGCTGCCTAAAATCATAATAAGGCTACAGACACCCCAAAACACACCACCAGACGTGGACCTGCCCACCAGAAAGACACGATCCAGCCTCATCCACCAGAAAACAGGCACTAGTCCCCTCCACCAGGAAACCTACACAGCCCACTGAACCAACCTTAGCCACTAGGGACAGACACCAAAAACAATAGGAACTATGAACCTGCAGCCTGTGAAAAGGAGACCCCAAACACAGTAAGATAAGCAAAATGAAATGACAGAAAAACACAGAGCAGATGAAGGAGCAAGGTAAAAACCCACCAGACCTAACAAATGAAGAGGAAATAGGCAGTCTACCTGAAAAACAAGTTATAAGATAAAACTGATTGAAGGTTGAAACGTAACTCTCAAACTGAAATTTAGTGTACCAGAGAAATTAAATGTATATAACTCAGCACTATTCTTATCCATTTTATGTATTGGGAGTTTGATTTCATTGGATAAAAGGTCCTGTTACTAAGAAAGTTTGAGAACTGCTATATGTAAATGTTCAGGGCCAACTGGGCATATTAAAAAAAATGTGGGCTTCCTTTTTCATTACTTCCCAATTATGCACAGATACAGTTTAATTGTGCAAAGCTTTAGTTTCCTTAATAAAGTAAATTAGTAATATTTACTTTATCAGATGTTGTGAGCATTCAATAAAATGTCTGTGAAGCAACTAGCTCCAAGAGTGGGGAAGACTTGGCACTCAGTTTTCCTGACCTTCTTGTCTGTGTGCATTTACCTCAATAGCAAATGAAAATGAGAGATAGTAGTTTATCAATTAGATCATGTTTTTTTTGTGTTTTTTTGCCGTGTGCGGGCCTCTCACTGATGTGGCCTCTCCCATTGCGGAGCACAGGCTCCAGACGCGCAGGCTCAGCGGCCATGGCTCACGGGCCCAGCCGCTCCACGACATGTGGGATCTGCCCGGACTGGGGCACGAACCCCCGTCCCCTGCATCGGCAGGCGGACTCTCAACCACTGCACCACCAGGGAAGCCCAAAGGTGTATTTTAAAAATAGAGGTTTAATTTCGTTCTCTGATACACGTTTAAGTTTTAAAGGAAGCTGTAAAGAATAAGAGTACTTTATGTTTTATAATGCTGTGCAGTCTACACTTAGCTTTTAATACCTGGGCTATGTCTTTTTTATAGATAGATAGAAAAAAATCTCAAGTGTTTGAATTCACTGAAACTTAGGAAGCACTCTACCTTCTTATTTAATCCTTGAAGAAATGACAGGTAATTTTTAAGAAGGGATTTAAAATCCAGCATGTATGCTGACCATTTTGTTTTCCTCCCCAGAGAGTATCAGTTTAATCATATAGTAGTCAAGGTAACTTAAGCTTTTTTTTTTAACCTCAGCATGAATCTGAGAGGCAATGTAACTGAAACTCTCTAATCAAATGCTTCCACAGTGCTGTCTGGGGCCTCCCCAAGGGTGTTGTTACCTATTCTTTCATTTCCTCCTCTGCAATAGATCCATGATTTTACCAGGCTTGAACTTTCTGTTCCTTTCTCATATCTTCATAAGCAATTAACAAAGGATAGCCCCCCCTTGGCTCTCTAATCAAATGCTTCCACAGTGCTGTCTGGGGCCTCCCCAAGGGTGTTGTTACCTATTCTTTCATTTCCTCCTCTGCAATAGATCCATGATTTTACCAGGCTTGAACTTTCTGTTCCTTTCTCATATCTTCATAAGCAATTAACAAAGGATAGCCCCCCCTTGGAGTTGTCATTTTGTGCCTTCAGTTTCCATGCAATCTTGTTTTGCTTTTTTTTTAAAAAAAAAAAAGGACCTTTAAATGC